AATAGATTATATATAAGAATGATCTGCATCAACAACAGACAGTGACACTGGTAGCTGCACCTGTAGCCGTATCTACCTGCTTGGCAACTGCCTGTAACATAAGTGATTTCCAATGTTAATCATCACGCCTGAACGTTGATGGAAGCAAACGGATGGGCATTGTTATGTTACCTTCCAAAAGAACTCAAACAGAGTAAGTAAAGATGTTTATGCTTGGAACACGTCCAATTATAATTCTTGATCCCCAGCTGTTCAGACTCGAGGTGGTGAGCAACATACCAGTTTTATTGGAATATGCTATGGAAGAAATTATAAAGAACAAAATTGTTTCGAAGATTTAGACTATTTCGCCCATGGCGATAACATTTTCTGTATCTCCAAATTCAATTTTTTTCTTTTGCATATTCATCAAGTTTTACATACAAATATTATTATTCCAATTCATTTTAACGTATGATGAACTGATTTATAACCTTGATATACTATTCCCCGCATGAACTGTCCGAAGGTTGTTGTGATAAAGTAAAACATTGTCTGGAATTATTCACTGTGTAAATACTTTGGGGATAATTTATCTGAAAAAATGTTGTCTTGTAGTCAACATTTACTTAAAAATTCGTGATATTGACTTAGATGGTGCTATGAATTTGTACCTATGAATTTAACTTCGTCTGACTGTATGAAGAAATAGGTTGATACTAAACATGTTAACAGTAATAACGATGTTGTAAATGACATGCTGAGTTTACCATCAGAATGTTACACATATGTGGAGAAATTGATTCTAGAATCACCAACATCAGAAAATGAAATATCAAATGCTATATCTCATTTAAGATACCCTGATCATATCATCATAGAAATGATAAAATATTCGGAATTCGTAATCATGCCTTTTCTGATAAAATGTTTCAATAGACTATTTGATAATGGTATTTTTCCAACAAGCTGGTCTTCTTCAATTATTGTTCCTGTACATAAGAAGGGAAAATTTGATGATACCGATAACTATAGAGGCATTTCATTAATGAATATTCTGGTAGCGTGTTGCGGATTATGATAACAGTCTTTGATGCTAGCCTCAACTATTGGACTGCAATGTAAAATCAGCAAAACTGGATTCCAGAAATTCGTAAAATGATTTTTTTTTACTTTTAGTTCATTTTCAGCCAGAGAGACAAGTTTGTTTTACCCCATTCACTGGTTTTATAAGACTTGGTATGATCAGAGGATGGCGTTCACTTGAATGTCATTTCCTATCACAAAATATGCTTTTTTATTCATTTCCTAATTGAGATAAGTTTGATATGTGAAATGTGATATGTTTCCTTTCATTAACTATTTTAGTGGGATAATCTCGATCCAAATACGGTATGAATTTATCTGTGCTGATACTATTCACCTATCACTAACTGAGGCCAATGGAACCACAGTCATTTTCCTCCTGAATGAATTGAACGTGCACAAAAGCAATACGCCCGGACATTGTGCTCACTTCCACCAGGAAGTTTATGAATGATCACAAAATAATACACCTATACCGTACCTCTGAAAGTATCTCTGAGTTATCATGTTGGACTGGACGCATGTATTGGACACAGGTGTACACTGCACAGACAGACAGACTGATTTATGTCACCTGCAACTTCCATCCTGTTTGTGATTGTGATACTGACAAGCCATGACGATGATTGTAGACAGTACACAAAGGGTGTTTATCGTGTAGGCCGTGGTAACTGTTACCAAACTGAGAATGCAGTCTGTAAGTACATACATTGTACATGTATAGGTCAGCTGGAGAAAACACTCACAGGATACAGACTAGTATCACAAATGACATCATTTACGGCGATAAATGGTATATATTATGAGGTACCATGGCGTAATGAGTAAAACAGCAACAACTATCGAACAAATAACAAATGATCAGCAAGAAGAAATTGATTTGAACTGAGAAAACTGCAGCGCTATAGTGTCCAGTGGAACTTAAGGGTGTTGTTACAAGAGATACTTCAAGTATGCATATACTCAATTTGACAGATAAAAAGTAAGAAAGACTGGTGTAACTGTCATATAACTGTCATGACATCTGGCAAGACAAATGATTGACAACTTATCCATATGCCAATGAGCCAGCCACATCACTTTCAACGTTACACTTTCATCTTTCAAGAACCATTTCTTGACTTGTCAGCACCTACCTGCTACACCGTCCAGCACACAGACACAGATCCACAGGAGGGCCCCGAGTCTGTGGCCCGCCATGTCGACACCTGAACATGTACGCGGAAAGTAGAGAATTTATACGAGATAAGGATACTGACAATGAAGTTCTGTCAGAGATAACATTATTTACTGATCAATGCAGTGATTTTTCACTTTGGTGAATCGAAAATGAATGTTACCACAATACTTCACAATGCATAACGCATTTACTGAGTTGTCATAACTTGATATCTATTTCTCTGTCTTGAAACAATGGCGCGTGGGACCACCCTGCATAGTTCAAGTCATGACGTGTGTAAAACAACGGTTTGCCCGGCAGGTGTTCTACCACGTGTGTGTGTGTGTGTGTGTGTGTGTGTGTGTGTGTGTTAGCCTAGTGGTTAAAGCGTTGGCTCGTCACGCCGAAGATCCGGGTTCGATTTCCCACATGGGCACAATGTGTGAAGCCCATTTCTGGTGTCCCCCGCCGTGATATTGCTGGACTATTGCTAAAAGCGGCGTAAAACTAAGCTCAGTCAGTCAGTCAGTCAGTCAGTCTACCACGTTGGGTTGCGATTTTAAGCGCAACCTCGTATCGCTAATAGAGTCATTTAAGACAAGAGCAAGCCACGCACATACTCACTCACCCGTGATGATAATCAGAAGAACGGGATCGGGTGGTCAGGGTCGTTGACTTGGTTGATGCACGTCATCGTATCCTACTTGCGGATGTCGAAGATTATGATGTCAGTCCCTGGACTGACCCAGACCGTCACCATTAAGCTGGTAGATTGTGCAGTGCAGTGGACCGACAATGTCCACTTTGTGAATCAAACGCTGTTGGAGACGAGTTTCACTACTTGTTTAGATGTGAAGGTCTTCTCCAACTTCGACGTCAGTCTCTGAACACTAAATACTTATAATTTCCAAATTTGTCCATCTTTAAGAAACTCTTGTCTACTACCAGCATAAGCCACCTTAAAGGTCTTTCTAACTTACTGATTCACACATTTCATGCATTTAAAAATGAAATATTGTTGTTATCTTGTATATTGTTATCTTGTAAGCTGCTGTCTTGTATATAATGTGAAGTATATACACTTATCTCATGTACCACCGTTGGCGGTTTCTAGAGAATAAAGAGTTTGGAGTATAACATACATCAGACATCACATTCTCCGTTCAGGCCTTGACAGGGTGAGTGTATTAAATCGCCGACTCCTCAGCCTCCTTATAACACTCTTTCCTCGTTACAACATTCGCCTGTACCAAGTTCTGGAAACTTATTAAATAGGGTATGTTGTTTATTGCTGCTGTCAAACATTGACTTGTTGACCTGTTGTTTTGACTTTGTATTGCTATAAAACTAATTCTGCGTTTCCAGTATAATTTACTAATTGCCCATTTGATCTGGTCTGGTTATTAATTATTTCACAATTAGGATTTCGATTTCTTAGTTAAATATGAACAGGACCTTCCAATTGGAGTCACTACGAATCATTCCTATTGGTTAAAAACGTACACTATTGCTGTTTCCGCCTCGAGCAAGCTCCAAATCACGACGTCCAGGAACAAGACAAATTGTTTATAAGTACAGCAGAATGTTTTGTGTGTTGGTTGTCATCAGAGCGTGATAGCTCAAAACGCATCAACATGGTTTTTACATTTACACATGTGTACAGATCGCCTCCGCGGCCCACTTGATAGAGCGTCAGGCCGAGAACAGAAGACCGGTGGTTCGATCCCAGATGTGTAAAAGGACGTAGATTCTTGATTTTATTTATTTTCTTCGTCTGGCGCTTAACATTAAGAAAATACAAAAGGACTGTTAATCTCGCATGTAGTATGCTGTATAACACGACAAAAAAACTCCTTTCACCTCATAAATGGATGTTTTCGCGTGAGCCCTGTCTCAAGAGGTGGAAGATTACAGTAAAATCCAACAACACACTCTATATCCTTTAAAACTTATATCTACAGGAAATATTCTGCACGGCCGAAAGCTATGAAATACACAATGCCATTTTAGAAAGTGGTCAACTTTAACATATGTTCTATTTGGGATTACACTTTCTTGGTAAATGACATTGTGTATTTCATAGCTTTCGGCCGTGGGAGCCGTGCCAATTAACACTTATCAGAAGGGTATACAAATTCCGCAGTCTAGACTACCAGTTGTCCGACTTCCATGTTGTGGAAGCCGCGGTGGCTGAGCGGTCTAGGCGTCTGACTTTGTGTGCTGGCGATTAGGTGCCTGACAATGAGGGTGTGGGTTCAAATACCGGATGGGACTCAACCCAAAAAGTACTAGAATATGTACTTTACTAAGACAGTGTAATCCCAAATATATCATATGTCATATCAAATACTAACCCTGTCTAAACGAGACTATGCCGCCCCGATCCCAACCTCTATTTGATATTGAAATAGAGCCACACTTAAATCCATTCAACGCACCAGCGGATATTTGTGAAACTGCCAAAGAAATTGGTGCATACGTGTCCATCGAATAACTGATAGAAATACACAACAAAATTGTCCTTCCAGCCTGATGATAAAGGTTAAAATGTTTTATCCTTGAATGCAAAACGTCAACTCCAGTAAAGCATTTGTCTTGATCGAACGTCCAGGCTGGTTTTGTAACCTGTAGACTATGTGAGGAGAGAGGTGTAAACGGCGTTCATTCTGGTTTGTAACCTGGAGGCTATCCGGGGAGTGAGACGTCAACTCCGGACCGACCCCTCTGGTTACGTAACCTGTAGGTGATGTCAGGAATGAGACGAAAACGCGTGGCATTGACTGTCCTGTACATCTATATAACCTGCTGGCTGCATGAAGAGAGAGACGTAAAGAGATCCCGGTAGCTGTGATCAATAGCAAACACTTCATTTTGAGTATATAGTTTATTTATCACCTCATATGTAACCAATAAACTTAGAATTAGCATGATTGACAAACATTGCTCTGTGATATTCAGTTAGACATTATAACATTAGAACATCTGAAGAATGTACAAGTAGCTCCAAGTATAACAATACTGAATTATGCTAAGCTTCGTCAGTTGGTAGTGTTACGTATTTTACATATGTATGCACACATCTACCGTCATCTACAAGCTGGAGTTAGGTGGTTATTGATTAAAGCTTGGTCTGCAGTACCCGAGAGGTGGACTGCTCGCGTGATCTGTAAAATGTGTAAGGCTCGTAAAAAATATACAATTACATAATATACACAATGGGCTCAGTGAAACAGTGGTAACATACCTTAACACAAGAACAACTCGAAACCTCCGAGTAAAAATAGATCTCATCGCAAAAACACAAAAATTCTCAAATTATGCATCTATCAGTATTGCTGAGAAGTGAACAAGTTCATCACATGTTGGCGTAGATGCTCTCGGACTCCATGTAAGCTGCGGCCACGTCGTAACACAGGGCAACGTCAGCCTGGAAGGAGATACATGAACAGTAAGTGTTGGTGGAAGAATGAAAGTGAACCAAGAGTTGTCGTCACATGATGCTGCATATGAACAAACACGAGGAGAGGTATGACAGAACACCTATGGTTGGCCATCATGTTGATAGAAATCCACTTTAACAGTAAATGTGTATATTCATTTGCAACGTGGGTAGAAAGAATCGCGACTATGGACCATACAACATTGTTTACTGTGGCATTTGTAACAACATCGACACTACTGTGATGTCCTGATCCAGACAGTGGACCATCGCTCTCATGTTGTTGTAGACCTCAGCTCGTTTGTCATACTTCAGGCCTTGGACAATATTGCTCAGGATGCACAACATGGCTGCATTCTGTCTGTTGTCTCTGTAAAACATTTAGTTATGGTAAAGGTGATGGAAATACATGCGACAAAAACATTCCGATATCCATAAGTAATCTCTTCCAAAGGAAAGTTGAGTGTTCGATTATGATTACACATGTGTCGTTTCTGTATCAACAGAAAGAAAACTTAGAAAAATCATGAAAGCATTTTAAACTTTTCCAACTGGCGACGTATATGAATTGTTCCCGTTTACCATAGAGAAAGCACTCTGACTCACTAAACTGAATAGTAGTGTTAGTTTGAAACGCTTTACTCACTGGTAAACGACAGTAACTGGGCTCGAATAGGCGAGTTGTTCCAGGAGGCTGAACACAGTGTCCTGTGATTCGTGTGGGGACTTGTTCAAAATGTATACGTCGACCAGTGTAGGTGTAGAATTCTGTTGAGAAATGATAGACTCGTCAGACACGTTGGATAGTTACACAATAGACCAGCAATCTTACGTTGACTGGATCTTTGTTCAGACGAAGCAAATACGGCAAAACTAATGGAAGCTCTATATTCTCACCTTGTTCTTATTTTGGACGCTTTTTTTCAGGGACACCTGATGTTATCAATGATTTTCAGTGATCAGTTCATATCATTTTTCTCATCTCTGCTTGACATTAAAACAAACGGAATATGTTTCTGAAGGTAATCACGAATGGGTGTCGCACTGACAGTCTATGTTTCATTATTCAGGAGGCACACTCCTGCCTCGTGCATCCCACACCCAAATCAGGAATGACACATGGTACGTGCAAACTATGGGATGAGATAAGGTGTAACGTGTTACAGGCATAAACGTCCATTGATAGGATTTTTGTAGTCAACACTTTAGTCCATTCATGCAAATAGGGGCGGTGGGATAGCCTAGTGGTTAAAACGTCCGCTGGTTATGCCGAAGACCCGGGTTCGATTCCCCACATTGGTAGAACGTGTGAAGCACATTTCTGGTGTTCCCCGTCGTGATTTTGCTGGAATAGGGTTAAAAAGGGCGTAACACCAAACTCACCCTTGCAATAAGCATTCCTGCTTCATGTTTCCCAAAGTGTTTAAGGAACCGTCATGTGAAGCAATTTAATGATGGCCTACCTCAATCTGCCTGTGGATGTTCCTGAGCGCGATGCCTGGACTGATGGTGCTCTCCGTGGAACATCTCACTTTGACGGGACTCAGATCAAGGCTGTCACCCTCGGACGGCACACAACTGGACAGACGCTGCAAACACGTCATAGAAAATGCCGTTTGATTCCACACTCATATTCATCTTGAATGTTGCAATATAAGTCTTGTTCTTTCTTCTGAAACGTACCAGTGCAGATTATGTCACAAACACGAGTTGAAAAGTCAATTAATTGTTAACTGTCCTGGGATATTTGATGAGCTACGATTCTCAATAATCACCTATTTGTGCTTTGGTTCAAATGTTACTTTGGTTACTAAACACGACATCATTTCATAATCATGTCAGCAAGTTCATTCTGAAGTATCTACCTTTGTATTCACTTGTCACCGTTCAACTTGACATCATTAACATGTGTGTAGTCTTTGAATAGGATCAATTATGCATGCTCAAAAGTTACATGACCAGTATTACTCTATCCTTGAAAAAGGGTATTGGTTATTGCGATTTGCTACCTGATGCGAGTCTGGCAGGACAATGACAGTGGAAGACTCCTGTTCCTCTGTGAGTTTCCAGAACAGAGACGCCGTGGTGACGGAGGGGGCGTCAGTTAACAGGTAGCCATTCACTGACAGGTAGGACTAAATGATACAAAATACAATGAAGTGTGCTGTTTCTTCTGCAAACTTATAAACGTTAAGAAGGACTATGCAGAGGAGCTCTGTTTGCGTCAAGGCACTGTTAGCTTCCTGTGTGAAACAGTACTATTGTCTACATGTTAGTAGGTGATCATTGGCTGCTAGGATGCATCATAGCGAGTAGGCGGATGCATAATGTGGATGCTAAGTGACTTGATTCAAACTAGACAGAACAGTCAATGGTCACGAATAAAGAGGAATTACCTGACTCATGTTCAAACTACGATGAAGTATATATCACGAAACGTACAAAACAACTTTTCCTGTAGTAAAAAAACGCGAGAAACAGGTTTCTCGTAGGTAGTGTGTTTACAACAAACAGATGAAGTCATTACCGGCGTCATCACAGCCATGATGTCTGAGCGTCCATTGATCCACACACGGCCCTTCACCGCGGCTCCTGAAATTTGATGACATAAGAGTTCCTAGTTTGTGAATTATAAAAAGTGGTAACTGAATAGGCTTTTTGATGATTTGGTTTATGAGTAAATCTTTTAAAAATATATTCTACAGTGAATTAGTGGGTGAATATTTTAAGTCACATCGGCAATATTTCAGCCATATCGTGACTAAATCAAATTATAGATTTAGAGCAATTGACAGTAAATATTAAAATCCTGTCAACGAAGGAAAGTAAAACAGCTAGAATATCACAGATATAAATTTAAAACTAGTAATTAAATCTATCTACAGCAGAAGCTTGAGTTACTCACCAGTTTTCGTCTGTGATTCTCTTTCACTGTTCAGAATCTAAAAAGGCACAGACATGTGTAAATGAAAACAGACTGGTATGTAAATCATTTTTGTGGACACAAAAAATAATGAATTTTCATTTCGACAAATTTGTAGATTACCTGTATTAACTTTGGTATGGACATGCGTCCTATTTTAAACACCTTCTTCATATTTCTGAGTCTGCTAAATTCCTCCACTTCCAAGGCTGTGTTTCCAAATTCCAGAACTCCGTACAGAGCGATGTAAACACACGTGTACTGCTCCTGGGAATTACATGCTCTGTTTGAGTCAAGCAGTTGTTCACAATGGCATGCATGTACATGTATCAGGTACTTTGGCCAAGGTAAAACCACAGAAATTCTGCCAATTAAATAATGTCATGTCACATGTATCGTTGAGTACTAACAAAATACTCGAGTGGCAAGCATGGTCTGTGTCCAATTATTTTGATGATGGAAGAATGATTTGAGATGGATCAATGCCAGATTTCGAGATATTGTTTGGCAATTTTGACACACTAACATCCTGCTACTGTACTATATGTATACTGGACAAAATAAGTTAGGGATATTGGTATTTTTATGAATGATATGTGATCAGTGTGTCAATGAATAAATAGATCATAATTCATAATTACAAAATTTACATATATCCTTAACTATTACAGTTACAGTGCCTCACCTGGGTCTGTATCATGCCCTTCCTCTGGTCTCTCATCCCCGAGACACAACCAAACACATCCACCGCATCTTCAGCCAGAGCCTGGTCCAGCAGGTAGTCCAGGGCGATGTAAGTTCCTGTCCGGCCGATCCCAGCACTACACATTTTACGATGCATACATTTACCTCTAATGAAAGTGTCATATTTGGAGGTTTTCAACGAATGCTCTCTGAATTACCAACACTTAGTGTCTTCTAAACTGTCATGCCAATAATGAATTATGTTTGTAAGCAGTGTGTTGCTTGCAAACTGAAGTAAGCATGAAATCTATCTTTCAAGTACAGGAATAGAAACATTGCACTACCATAGTTTGTCAACTAGTGTTCCACTAATGTGGAACTGTGATTTTCTCCGCAAGTATCAAATGCTATTTTGTAGATGAATTCTGAATGATGTCAACAACACGAGATGCGTATCCAGACATTGCTATAATGTCCGGTCGATGTCAAAATGGTTGGCACCAAATGCACCTCATGCGTTCCAACGTATATGAAGAGGAGCAGCTCTAATATGACTGCATATACAACCCTGATAGGATGCTATATTTCGCCCTCCGATAAAATTTCAAAAATACTTGATTGTACCTGAACATTGTTATGGACTTTTATTGGTGGAAATAAAATTACACGCCTGTCACAATCACCTGTAATTGATGTGGCCAATAACAATCCCTGAAGACCCATACAAAACATCTTCAATTATTCTTCTTAAACATCTCGTGAAACAGCATTGTACAATTTAGATTCGTTTTCTTGTTTATGCATTTATCACAATTTGACGTACCCCGAAGCAAATGCAAAGATATATATTTTGAACTTCCTGCGGCATATATACAGGAGTGGTTACCCAAGATGAACACAAAACACGTACCTGCAGTGTACTAGTAGAGGGTCAGCCTGTGTGGTACGTGATGTCCTGATCAACCACAGAAACTCAGTCAAGGCCATCTCTTCAGGGATCCCGTGGTCCGGCCATGTTGTGAATTGGAAATGATGGAAACATCGACTTGTGTTTGTCTGAGGTTGAGCCCAAAATAGTTATTTTGTGTCATAAGAACACACATAACATTAATCTGACTATTAAACAGCTATCCAGAATTACAAACTTCAAAGATGAGTGAACCAATTACTTTCACTTTCTACCACAGAATGTGTACTCTCACCTGATATAATCATCATGTGATATAGTTATGATCGTATAAAGGAGTCTCATACAAGTGCATAATCGCACATATTGTGTTTCCATAGATAACAGACACTTCATTGGCATTTTATGTTTACGATTATGGAAATGTGTCCGCATTTTAAAATATAGTGCTGCCAAATACACATATATATTAGAAATCCAATTAAACATATTCCTAAAATGCTCAATACTTTCTGGTCATACCATATATATTAACAGATCTGTCCATAACATTATTTGTTTTGTTGTTATACGCTGCACGTATCATCCCAGCAACCATAAAGTGAACTCAACTTTAGTGAATGTTTGATGCGTATCATACTATTCTCTGTACGCACCTCTCTCTGTGTAACTTGTAACTCCCTAACGATCCAGTGAGCTCGAACACTGATGCTGGTCACAGATACCGTGAAGCCATCTGTCAGCAAGTCCGATGTGTCTGACCAATATGCTTCACACTTGACCTGGAATACAACAACACTAAGATCAGAAATGTAACGATGAAGACGCGTTACCAACATGACATTGATGAATTCATATCTCATATATCATTGGGAATCTTCATCTTTAAAGTATAATATATTTGTCTTTTTACTGACGCTGAAAATAGCTTTCGAAACTTACAATTTCTAAATGTAGTGGTAGTTTGTACTGTCAAGTACTTATGCTGAAGAAACCATACATGTATCTCTGTCCTGCTCTCTGCCATTTGGATTTAGATTTGTCGCTCTATACTGAGCTTCGAGCTGTTCCACGGTGCTTTGCTTTTATATGTCCGCTAGCAAGGATTGTGAACGCGTTCCAACCGTGGACAGTGTTTCAACATATTTAGCTGCCTGACTAATTCAGGGTTCATTACTTGAATCAGACGTAACTGCAAGTACATGTAAATATCATTTCAGTTTTCAAAGGAAATAAAAAATAGTACTTGTTGGCATGTAGCCCCGATGTTGTCACTGATCAGGCTGTGATTATTGAACTTGTATATTCTAGTTGGGATTTACCATTTTCTATTTCAATGAATATTTATGGTTTATCAACACACAATAAACAGATATAGCGGGCAGATAACCTATACTCTGTATATGTACGATTTAGTGCCATGTAAAATTAGAACCAAGTTGGTGACACAACAACCTTCATGTGGCGTTGCAGGAACTTACCCTTCCCATTTCCACGAGGTTTGTCAGAATGACGATTCTTGTACAGTTCTGTTCCCAGATCATCCTCAAGAAGTCAGTCAGTGTCGTGTTGTTGGGAGCTGTACGTAATATAGCACATGGGATATACAGACAGAGAGACAAGGGGTTTATGAATATAAAGTGTGTAAAAACTCTGAGCATTATCCCGTCCTGATGCTGTGAACTGTGCTTTTATGAAATCGGGGCTAATGGCAATTGTTTTGTCAGATGTTTTCGACATTGATTCCATCGATATGATTTTGGACTAGCTTATATGATATAGCTGGTTGTACCTTGAAAAAAAAATATATATAGAGCGAGAGAGAGATTTAGCTAACAGACATGTTGGCGTTATATTCAGATTCAAGAAAAGGTCAGGATTGTGGATGCTGATAACATGACGAATTTCATCGCTGTAAGTAGTTAGCATGCCAGATGGATTGGTGAGATTCAAATGTTGGGATGTGTTGGTTAACAACAATTAGCTTCTTTTCACAAAAATATATATATAGAATGTTGTCCCTATTGTGACGTCAGAATATATATGTAATGACGTCATACTGTAACCGCTACAATCTCCCTGAAGAGTAAAGAACGAAACATGTTGGAGAAAAAGGCATTCCGTTTTTATTTATCTATGTAATATATATATATATATATATATATATATATATATATATTCGGAATTTACTCAAAGCTGTATATTTATTCCAAACCACAAATTCCAAAACATAAATCAAAAAGTATGGTTTTAGGAAAGTGTAGTATTGTATAAAGACGATTATAACAACTGTTCATTCTGTCAAAGTGTAAATACTTTTTTCCATTCAGTTTAAGAGTAAATGAGTAGTATTCATAACTTTACAACTTTCATATCTGCATGAGAAAATATGTTCCTAATATGTATTCGTGTATGTCAAATAATAATGCCGAATGATTTATTTCAACTCAATATGAATAAAGATGTCCATACCTTGGGCTGCTATGTACGCCTTGGGTCGAGAGTAGCCCTATATTGGAAGCATAAAAGGAGAATATGTTCTTATTCTGTGAGTAAATGTTTTTTGTTCTTATTGATGAAGAAATAGTCATACCAAACGTAATGTTTTTATGAAGTTTGCACACTAGTAGTCGTTTTGGTCCATTATCCTACTCACGTCGATGTAGCTGGCGTTGATGTAGTCGGAGCCAGGTTGGTCTGGCAACTCCTTCAACACGACCCTGGTGTCGTCATCTGTACAACAACACACAACGTACACTATACAGGATCATTGTTTAGCATCTGGATGTGTCAGTGTTATATCCGGGATCTAACTCTGGACAGCATGGATCGGGTTATATATGGGTTAAGGTGGGGAGTGAAATGACAATTATATGTCATTATACATAAATAAGATCCATGCAGATCAAAACATGCAGGCTCTCATTTGACGCAAAACGGAAAGCTATCAAAATGACGTATAGATAATATTCAACTCACCAGTAACACATCTTGCAGTTACCTATTTTGATTTTACCAAACGTTCCTGTGTGACTATTTAGGCGAACGATTGACTTGCATCTGCATGTGTCTGTGATTGCTACCACCCACGGAACACGAGTAGCTCACCTTTTCGCGAACTCTTGGTATCACTATTCTTTGATGGCTATTAACAAACACGTATGTTTGAAACTATGGATTCATACAACGGGCTCTGCTTTCCGTGGGGATTTCTTATCATGGAATATGTTTGATTTATTCTTACGATTAAATTGGGGTTTTTTTCCCGCAGTTTTCATTTATAAAAGGCAGATACTTCATCTATCTTACAATGCCATTATAGGCTTCTTCACATCATTTATGACCAACCTCCCAAATAGATATGTTGTATACCGTTAGAACATTACATCCAGACATATGGGAAACAATACACTCCGTCAGTTTCAAGTCATGGCACTCGATCGTGGTATATCTGGTGTTTTCTGGCTTGCTGGCATGACTAAACGGGTGGTGTCTCTCTGTGCGAGTGCATGTGATCGTATCTCAATCGCTTAGATCGATCTTCTAGGTGGCTCTGGGGTCCAGATTCGATTACGTACAGATCGATATATAGCCGGATGCTGCCGGTGCTGCGTTTAACAACTCAAACACACACGCACACGTACACGCACACGCACACGCACACACATCACAATGGAACAAACACTCTCGCTCGCAACAACACTTCTTTTCTTAGAGCTCACATAAGCTATAGACAAAATCAGGCTATACTCACAAGGATAATAACCCCTGTATTTGTTTTTCCCCTTGTTTTCCGGTTGTTGGGAATGCGTGTAGGGTTTGGCGAAGTCAGAGGGTAATTTCTGGCAAAATATATATCATGCGTCATCATATCTACCCTTTCACGCGTTGACAAAGTGTCATGTATTTTATATCTACCATTAAACCTCCAAACCATATGACACACATATTTACGTGAAGAAATATTAACGTCACTGTTTCCAGAAGAAGAATACATAAGCTGATTGTTAACGCAATACGAATATCAATCTATATGTCTAATGTATTTGAAGTTTTAACGAAGATCTGTCATTACGGCAATCTCTGGACATTATCTCAGAACCAATTTTTAACATATACACGGGATGTTTTCCACTTTAAATCAGTTTCACCTGATACTCTGCCTGGAATCCCCCGACAGGCACCTGCAGCTCCTTGATCCGTTCCCCCACCTGATCTACAGACACCACCGTCACAGCAGGAGCTCTCGCGATGTTGTAGTACGTGGCATTGTGGTCCTCCTCTACATCGTCCTCGTCCTCCCCCAGGACAGGCACAGGGTTGTCCACTCCCGCCTCTTCTGTGTCCTCTTCTGCATGAAGAGAGACATACGTTTGTTAGGTCAGTCAAATGGTCAAACATTTCACATTATAGCACACATTACATGTCGTAATACACGGACCCCATGAGCAGTACCTCTCGTTTTAGGTACTAGGTGCATATTTCTAACTAATTACATAGATGCAATATACAGTTATGTGTGGTATATTTCTAACTGATTACGTAGATGCAATATACAGTTATGTGTGGTATATTTCTAACTAATTACATAGATGCAATATACAGTTATGTGTGGTATATTTCTAACTGATTACATAGATGCAATATACAGTTATGTGTGGTGTAATTCCCAAGCTAACCTTTCTGCATTTGGACCATACTGGTGTGTCTCCCAGACTCCTTATGGTGTCCTCTTCGTCGCCTGCAAAAGAGGGATTTTGTTCTCCACACTACGACAATACAATGTTGTTACATGGTGACAAATGATTATGCGGTATAGTCTTGGTATATTGGGTGTCCCCAAAATAGTGAACCGTTTTTTGACAAGTATTTTCTAAAAACACCGGTTCACATTTTTGGGGACACCCGACATACCTTCGATAATACACTGATTCTGTTCGATATGGATGGACAAATACCCATGAGCATTAATTAACCACCACTTAAATCCAAGGGAATTTTTTGCATATTTGTTAAAAATAGGCGATCATACCCTGGCGTACTAAAATGCAAACGGAATGGCACGTATTTTGCACAATGTCTCAAAAGCTACGGGTCACATGTTCAGGTGTACATTGACATGTAAATTTCATAATTACACAGTGGCAAGTCATTTGCATGCATGACGCAGGGAAAGGTTGTCCAAGACCCGGAAGACATAGAAGACCAATGACCTGACAACCGACTCCTTATTCATCTAGCAAGACGTATTCGCATTTCCGTAACTCATGCCGATAAACTTCCGGCAATGAAGAGTGGGACTCTCACTCTCAACCAGTACCATCAGAAAGAGGCTGTAGTCTGAATGAACCTCTTCCGATCAGATGTCCTTTCCCCGCAGACAGACAGAAAGTCAGTATCTTACACACGTTACCGACGGCCGCTGTCGCGTATGGAGACGTTGTAACGGTAAATGACACATGCAGCTGAACCTTTTGAAGGTGGCTTATTGATGATGCGGTGTTGGTTTTGTATGGCTGCAAGTGGTATCTCATCATAGTTTCTGGGGCACTGTGGTACTGACCATACTTTCTGGCATTTTAGATATTCCTGTTCTTGTGTATTCCTCTCAGACTCAAGTTAGTTGTTACCAATTTTTATTTCAGTAAAATATGTTAACCTTACCATGTTAATACGCGGCACTTGGTTTTCAAAGCATATACAAAAACATGAGTGGTGCTTTTTTAATGTTAATGGGTAAATTTTGATGATAAGTTTTAACAAAATCGGTGTAAATAATACTTTGTCATATGTACATGCACTTTAAGTGTTCATCACCTCATGACGACCACGGCCACGACGATGGCTGCAGCAACAATGACAGCAACTACAGATCCAGCTATGATACCTGCAGTCGTCGGCGGTTCTTCAACTAGCTCTACAATAGAAGATCATCTGTCGAACAATAACGCCATAAAAAGGATAGGTCAACACAAGATCTGTTGTAGCTTTGACTATTGCATGTCTGTATACCACCATTTGTTTATTGCCTTAAAGATAGCATTACACATTAACAACAGTCACACCATCAGTTCAGGGCGTAGGTCTTCACAATATAGAAACAAGGAAATATGAAGCATTACTAAAGCTTCAAGTTCATCCAAGATTAGATGTCATTCAGTAATGGTCAAAGAGATACCTGGAATAATGGCGACCAGTTATAACAAAATATGATGATGATCCACAACTAAGACCTCAATTTAGATCGTTAACTTTTACTTTAAGAATTATCCTGTCAGATCAAGGCTTTGATGTTTACATTCCGCATTTTAGGTAATTGGAGCTTTCTGTTTATACGAGGGTGGTAGCCATTGCTATTAAACGATTGGCTTCCGGTTTACTGATGTTAAAAGAGTTAAACATAAACAAACTATACAAGACTGTGCTTGAAGACCTGCTCATCCACTTACTTTGTGTACAGTTGTGGTCAGTCCATCCGTCACTGCATCCACTCAGACAGGAACCGTTGACATGGTGACAGGTGCTGACGTCCACACACTGACCACAAACTCCTGTACAGTTGGCACCAAATGAACCAAAACTACACACTGAAACCAGAAGAATGTAGAGAACATTCAACGATTTGAAAGGCATGTGTTCGATAACATCAGTATTAGAATTCTTTATCAGAGGGATATTTTCTCCATTCATCCATTCCATCACCTCATTTGGTTGGATTGTTTGGGAGAATCTTATAAACATATCAATACTATTGTTGGGTTGTCTTAGAGGATTTTGAAACATATCGATAATATTGTGGCTTTGATAGTTGTTGTTGTATATTACCTTGAGTGCAGTCTTCTCCCTTCCACCCTGACTGGCATCCGTTTTCACAGCGGCCTGAATCATTGGGACATGTGTCATTCCCTCCCTCACACATCCGGGCACTGCAGTTACCCGAACATTTAGCTCCATACTCAACACCCACCTGGCATGCTGTGGGTGGGAAATCTCAGAATAGTAATACATGTCATGTTATTAGCATACTAACATATATAAGAATTTAGAAACCAAACAAAGTACGTTGCAATTATTACTGGTATTACTGACAGACCTTCTGTACAGTCAGTGCCCTTCCAACCGCTTCTGCAACCACCTTCACACATTCCGGTCACGTGATCACAACTACCTGACGAGGACTCAGAGCACTTCCTGTCAGAGCAAAATTTGGAACAGCCGTCGCCGTAAGAATGAAGGCATTCTGTAAATAAATGACGTGCGCAGTTATACTTTAATGTGCAAACATAAATATTGACAAATTGTACCTGTAGTTACTCTTGTAGATATTTATGTCGTGAAACATATTTCATACTATTTTATTTTATTCAATCCAACATGTACACATATTTTGGGCAGCTGATGCCTTACCCTGTGTACAGTCTGTTCCATTCCAACCTGCCGTACAGCCTCTAACACACTCTCCTGCCACGTGGTCACAGCTAGAGCTGTCGCCTTGGCAGTTCCTATTTTGGCAAATCTTGCTACAGTTGGCTCCATAGTAGCCAAATTGGCATACTGGAAAACAGAAAAGATTTAGATACTGATGTGAGTCGAACAGCCCGATGATGTTGTGAATGAAAAGGCCATTTAGATACTGAGTACGTAGACGCTCACTGAAGGATCCCCCAGCAGTGTAAAACACTCAAACAGCACGGACCTGTATCACACGCTGCTGTTGTCCATCCAGGTAGACAGACTCCACTGGGGCAGATGCCGCTGACGTAGTCGCACACCTCGCCGTCACAGTGGCAGTAGTTGGCACAGTCATCTCCAAAAGTACCATTGCTGCAGACTGAAAATGAATAATTAATTACAGACAAAGTAAAACAAAGTAAAACCTAAATGCATGTTTGTTTTTTGCCCAACTCTGCAATTTTCCAGGTACATTTTAATGACTGACATCATGTTCATCTACCTTCGTAATTGGGATGGCGCGCATCGATCATGTATAACAACCTGATCTCGTTTGTTGTCTTTACGACAGGCACAATATAATGCTGAACACCAGTTCTAACCCTGATCTTCACGGGTCTCAAATTGAACCTACAATACAAAAAATCGCTAAATGTGTAATTTACACTACATATTACTTAAACAAAGTGAACTATACTGGATTGCATTCATTTACACAATGAAGCAAGAATGAGTGAATGAATATCAGTCATTACAACTGGTCTTGCGAAATGATAAACACGTCCTGTCTTTCAGTCATGGTTTAGGTCAGTGCAGTTTCTGTGGACTGGGAATTTAACACGCGGTGATCTTTTGTTTCTGCGATAAACGAATGTAGAACAGCACGGGGGCATTCTAGCATGAGTTTCAGACAGTGTTGTAGATGTGGTCACACCATGTACAACATTAAGCTACTAATAGTTATTGATTTATGCAGTACAGACGGTTATCCTGAAATCGTATCCATTTGTGTATTTATAATTACTTTACATATAAACACTTTTTTCAGTTTTTTATGCACGGAATCGGAACGGTTTGTTTTTGTTTGTTCTTTTTTGTTACGTTTCACAACAATTTGATCGTTCTGTTACCGTATGCGGATTCTGGGTGATTAAGTTATTAATTTAAGAGTAAATGATGACTAAATGTTAGTCCGGTTTGTTCAACAACATATTAATTAACATGGGCAGTTTCAAGTTAACGTTACCGACTGTGGCTTGAATGAACATTGACAACCAGTATTGAAATTCCAGTCTGATATCCTTGTTCAGATCCAGGGACTATTCGAAGTTCGACTTGATTTACAAAGGGGGCGTCTGTAAATACAATATTCCTGTTCTGCATATATTTTTACTGTCCTTCGTTGACAGGGTTTTATATATTATATGTCTGTATTACAAATTTAGAACTAGTTTTAGTCACGATATGGCTGAAATATTGCCGATGTGACTTTAAATCTTAACTCACTCACTCACTCACTGTTCTGCATATCCGTCTACAATGTTGGCTGTTGGAATCTGATGAAGTTGATACAGTTACGAAGTAAGATAAACAGACTGACCTTTTCTATCGTTGTTCACGTGAATCATATTCAACAATTTCTGTTGTTCTGTTTGACATTTACTTCATGTATCTCCTTTCTTGTCGGTCCAATGAATTAACTACCTGATTACGGTAATATAGAAATAAACATTTCAAAGTTTCTATTGAACGCTTCAATAATTTTGATTTATTAACAGCAATAATTATGCAAAACAAAAAGAGTTCTCATGCAAAAGTTATGTAGTTCCGAAAACGTATGGTGTTAAAATGACAGAGGTGACAAAGGAGATATGTATGCTTTTCACCGTCAACCTCCACTTCACAGAAATCCATGATAGGTACGTATTTTTCGTTGTTGACAGTGATGGTGTACAAGACCAGATAGCGCCCTTCGCCAGAACACGTGACATTCAAAACATCAGGTATGTCTGTCCCGTTGATGTTCCCTGTCACGGTGTAGCAGTTGACTCCATCAGTTGGGGAGGCGACAGTGTCAGCTATGTAGATCTGGATACCATTCCGACGAACTATATCTGATCAATGTTATAATTCAACATTATCGCTCTGTACATATTATAGGTAGTCAAATGCTTAGCCTTCTGCGAAAAACTCATACATAAACATGCAAAGTTGTTTTATATAATTATTGGACGATCTGGTAGATGTATGTTGATGAAATAATATCAGTCTGACAAATACAAACATGTATTTATTCATAATAACTGAAGCAGAGCGAATGTAGTGCACCACGTGCATGTCTGACATCAGTGTCAGGTAGTGTTGTTGACGTGGTCACATCATGTATGTCACACCTACTAATAAGGGCAGCATTTTTATTTTCTGTGTTTCTCATCGCCCGACCGACCCCTAATTTTATTGCCGACCAAAAAAAAAAAAAAAAAAAACACTTTTATTTCATTTCAACACCGCAGACTCAAACCTAAAACGTACCGACTCTTCATATAAAATGTTAGCACAAAAAAAATCAGTTATATTTGACAACAGTCCGGCCATGATGTCTGCTACTGGCATAGAAGACGAACACGAAAACAAACATCTGGTCTGTTTTGAAGTATCACCTTCATATCCCTTTTAAAGTAGGAGTAGTGTCATCTTAATTTGATAACCTTTTAACATTTATGAACTGTATGAAGTCATTCAAGCACAATATATTTGTGTTAGATACACTGGTCACTAACATTTGTCTTTATATAAGGGCAGACTATATTGTTGTTTCGTTGATCTTAAAGCTGCATTTGATTCCATCAACAGCACAAGCTTGATGTGTAAAGTTGGCAATGTGATAGGTAAATTTTTTAGATAAATTAGGGGTGAACTTGGATGTTTATCTTTCCAAACTAGACAAAATAGAAAAATTGTAAGATATTGAACATGGTTATTATACCAAAAGGATAATGGAATATTATACCACACATACCCTTATCGATATAAATTAGCAGAAGTTGGTAGACAATGCTGGGCCCATAACGTAAAACAATTGTTAAATAAATATAGGTGCATATCAATACATCAACAAACATGGTTCGAATTAATATGTCAGTTTCCGAAATGTAATCTTTATCAAGAAGAAATAATGTTATAAAAATATTTGTCAGTTGTGAATGTAACTTCATATAGAATAGCCCTAACTAAATTTAGGTGTTCAAATCTAGATTAATGATAGAGGAAAGTCGAAAACTTGATATTGTCAAAGATCAACGATTTTGTCCACTATGAATTATTCCCTGTATTGAAACAGAGTACCATTTCTGCTTAACGTGTCCTTTTTGTCAGATGTGAGTAATCATCTCTCTCTCTCTCTCTCTCTCTCTCTCTCTCTCTCTCTCTCTCTCTCTCTCTCTCTCTCTCTCTCTCTCTCTCTCTCTCTCTCTCTCTCTCTCTCTCTCTCTCTCTCTCTCTCTCTCTTTTCTCTCTCTCAATAAAGTCCCTACGACTTCCTATGTATCTGAGCCCTGGCTGTCTGACATGGTGTCAAATGTATTTCTTTGTACTCACATTTTGTCCTGAAGTATATTGTGACATAATGTATTCTGACCATCTCCCCAAGGTCCACTCTCCACCATGCCTGTGTTATATTGTTGTCTTCCCAGTCTGAATGAAAACACTTCTCATGGTCGCTTGCGCTGTTGTCACCGTTTACAGCATTGCCTGGATCCCCAAAGTCATAGACTGAGCTGGCTGATGTGGATTTGTTAAGTGCAATATTGCCTGTGACAAAATAGAGGATCATTCATGAATTATTGCTCTAAACTGTGTAGTGACAAAGATATGCAACAATATACTTGACGCCAACATACACATAACTAATACGTATGCCTGTTACAGTACAATAACGGACTCCAATTCACGATGAACCGAAGTCATTCTTGTTTGATAGCGTTAATATATGTTCGGATCAAAGTAACCCTGAGGGCTAGTGATATTACATGCATTCTAAGGGTCTTTTCTGCTCTCTACTGTGAAACTGCTCCAGCCTATCTGAAGGACCCCCTCACTCCCTATCTCCCTGCTCGTAGACTCCGCTCATCTGATCAACTGCAGCTCTGTGTACCCTTCACGAGGACAAAGTTAGCTAGCCAGGCTTTTTCTGTTGTTGCTCCAACTCTGTGGAACAGCCCCCCAACATCTCTCAAATCTACGGACTCTGTCCAGTCATTCCGCCATGACTTGAAAACCTATCTCTTCAACCAAGATTATTTTTTGGTTTATTTTTAACTTTGTGAAGCACCACTGAGCAGCCACCAGTTGGAAATTAGGTGCTATACAAGTGCATTATTATTGTTATTATTTTATGATCAAGTACTCTCCGCACAGCTTCATACCCAGCCACTTTATATTATTATAACAGACCATTTTATTCATAAAAGAAGAGTCCAAAGTATGGCAAGGCGTATCAACATTATTACGTCAACGAAGATTGGCAAATAAATCTTAAAATGTACGTCTTCAGTCAACTCGACTCTACTTTGGATGATAATACTGTATAATTAATATTTACAGAAAAGGATTCGTGTGATCCTTGCATAGTCAGCTTAGTAGTCATAGGTAAAGGCCCTTAATCACTCCACACACACACCAGACAGCGACTCGGACTTATTGCAGGAAGCGTTGCTTTAACGATCCAAAGAACGAAATCAGACAAGGTGTAGACTCCTAAACTATGTTGACTTCTGCATTCACCAGAGTGTAAAAAGGACTGTATTCTTGGCAGAAAGACCCTTGCACGCAATCACTGTCATTCAACACATTGTGAGATGCCAAATCTAAGTCACTAAAACAATAGGGAGTCTGCCAACATGGTACTCGGAAAACAAGAAAGGTCCTGATTTACTGGATCTTTCCAATTTCATGACAGCTAGTATCTATAAATGATGTCATTGGATTTATCCAAGAGGACAAAGTCAGGTATGTTGGGCTGAAGCTGTATATGGGAGACTTTAAGAGAATTTTTACAGCAATCATTTTCCATGCACACTGCATGTTCTTGTCCGTACCATTGCTGGACCTCGGATTCAACTTATAATGATCGAGCAACCCCTTCGTGGGCACTCACAACGTGTTTGGGAAGTCTCATTGACTGCATTGCATATCCAACATTTCATTTATACATTTTGATGCAAAAATCACACATTCGAAGCGGAAGTGACTGCTACATTCTTGACAATAACTGTGAAACAGACATAAAACCAGCTCTTTCATCTGCCAGGTCAGTCGCAGGGCGGTATGGGGTAGCCTATTGGTTCGAAGTTCGATTCCTCACACGGGTACAATGTGTAAAGACCATATCAGGTGTCCCCGCCGTGATGGTCCTGCAATTTTGCTAAAGCAGCGTAAAACTAAACTCATTCACTCACTATCCATGCAGTATAGTGACAATTATTTACTGAACAGAATATGTAAATGCAGCAAAGAGGGTTTGGATGGTCCTCGCACAGTTAAATTGTGAATTCATGCTGACTAGAATGTTTCATTCACTAAACAGTTTTTGAGACGTGTCTGTTGTGAGTTGTAGAAATGTTCAAGAGGTTGACTCTTATTATCATTATTTTTATATGGGTATTTATATAGCGCTATAGTCCACCCCACATGCATGCTCAAAGCGCTTCTTTGTTTTTCCCTCGATCATTGGATGTCAATCTCAGCGACACATCATATTATCAATCTCAACTCCCTTCGGATCATACAACTCTTGCAGCCACTAGACGCACCGCGGTAATGTGACTTTCCCGGATATGTGCGTTTCCCATCCTTTCGAGGTACCCATTCACAGCTGGGTCGACTGGGAATAGTCACAGTACTTTGTCCAAGTTTACTGCACGTTGTTGTACCCGCAACTGGGTGTTTGCACGTATTCATGTGGCCACCATCTGGTCATATACCAACGGACTCGTGGGTTCTTTTAAGTGCACAGGGTTGTGCACTGTACACTAGCGGTTGTGACAACACTGAAAGAGTCTGCATACAAAGTTGACACCAAGGTTTTTACACCTGGTCACAGGTGGGCTCGATCCCGGCACCTCCAAGCTCGCTGGGTCACTAGCCTGGCGCCTTAGCCAGCTTGCCCACAATGCCCCCAACTTATGTCATCCCAATCATGTCCAAATTGTATAGTCAAATATTGGCAAACATAAATAACTTACTTTTCTGACATGTCAGTCCTGACCAGCCTATGTCACAATCTCCAGGACTACAGCCACTGGTAGCATTGCATTTTTCCAAAGGACAATGACATTGGTAACCGCATTGGTAGCCGTATGTTCCTTCAGGACAGGTGCCTGTAACAGATGGGTTATAACTGAGCCAAACATTATATCATCATGCAGTTATTTAAAACTAACTCAAGATACTTCAGAACGCACAATAGAAAAAAATAATATCTGCAGCGAAATATGTTTTATTTCATCAATAGACATTTTTCAACTGTTATATATTGTTAAATAGCGCTCATTTGTCATGGGAGCGTGACACCCTTTGATTTCCAACCAGCAACAGAAGGTGATTGGTAGAGTGAGTGAGTGAGTGGGTGAGTTATTATTTAACGTCACATCGACAATATTTCAGCCATATCGTGACGAGAACACTTGACATTGAAATGATTGGTAGAAAACTTGAGACAAAGGTAGTTGTGTTGAGGACACCGGTTATGTTTGACGTTATAATTCTAAGGAGAATTTCAATTACATGTGTAATCAGATGTGAATACAAACATTACGACATGCATATCTCTTGCGCTAAAAGAGACGTTACTAGACAATTTACACAGACGCTTATTGTTTAAGCGTCTGTGTAAATTGTACATATTGCACCGCTGCCTATGAGACACATGCACACATATTTTTACCCGTAAAGACATATCTACGTTGTACGAGTACGGCAATCTGACCGGCTGCTACTGATGCATTGGGTTTCTGATGAAAGTGAACAAAAGTTTTATTCATAGTACCTCTGTTACATCTAACTAAATCAATATGTAATGCACTGTACCATCTGTAACAACTAAGTAAATGGAAGAAAACGGAAGTACTTTAATCTTTAATCTCAGACAACCTAGGCATTCGCTTGGGCGCATAATTCATCAGGAGTCTGAGGAATAATCATCCCAATCTGAAACCGCACGATGTAGTAAAATGGCTACAGAAACAGGAGGCTTATTCCCTTCTCCAGCGTCCAAAAAGAAATTTTAAGAAAAACAGAGTCATAGTCGGCAGAATGAATATTCAAGCAGACGCAGACCTATGCGACGTTTCAAATCTATCAAAATACAATAATGGAATAAAATATATTCTTATCCTAATGGATTGTTTCTCCAGATACGTGTGGTTTGACACTGTGAAGGACAAATCGTCAAAAACGATTTCAAACTCCATGAACAAAGTGCTCGTTCTATGGATAAAGCTCCATTTGTCGACAGGACTGATAAAGGAGGAGAATTTCAAAACAAGTTAATTAAGAAGATATTGAAGAAATTTCATACCAAACATATCGTCACGCACAATTCTGATGTCAAAGCCAACTTAGCAGAAAGATTTATTCGAACACTGAGAAAACTCATATACAGCTAATTTACTTTCAAAAAATACCTACAGATATATAGATGTTTTACCCGATCTCATTTGTAATCATCGTCCTCACAAAAGGAATGAACGTGACCCGCTGATATTTCACCTAAGAATGAAGCTATATAAGATCTGGTTAGAAAGCTATTCATCTGAGAGAAAAGACAAAGTCGACCAATACAAGAAAAAGACAGAGCAAGTCATCGAGCTATAAAAGGAAATATCAATTTAAAGTTGGAGATTATGTATAGATATCTTTGGTCAAGAGAATATTTAAGAAGGAATACGAACAGAAGTGGTCGGAGGAAGTCTTTCAAATTACAAAACGTCGTGTCAGAGATAAACTCGCCATCTACTGGCTCAAGGATTTACAGTCGGATCCCATTCATTGAGGATAATTTATGAGAAGGAGCTACAGAAATCTCGCAAAGACCCGAACAAAGTTGACTGGCGAATAGAAAAAGTCCTAAAGAAGATAACTAAACGAGGGGAGAACAACAAGAATATTAAAGAAGTATACGTGAAATGGGCCGGGTTTCTGAAGAAATTCAATTTCAGGTTTGATGCGAATCAAGTTGAAGAGTGATGATAATATTGAATATTTTCCTGGTAATAAGCCTATCAGTTTTCTGTCTATTTAAAACAACCACTCCGTCTCGATGGACAGTGGATAATTTCACCGAGAGAATTTAATGTTGAAGGTTCACCACCGGTGACGTGCAATAGTAAGAGGAACAAGAAAGTCACTGATGAACTTATATATATTGTTCCATCTGCGGTTCGATCTGCGAACCCATAACCGTTGCAGGGGCAGCGTAAACCTCTCTTCAGTCGTATAACAGACGGTTTGGGGTAAACCGGCTACATTAAATATTCCTATCGGAGGTGTCTACAACTACGGCCCTACAACTACAACGATATCCATTTATCATTTAATCATGTTTGGTGAGGTAACTCAAGAAGAAGATAAACTTTACGTCCCCATCCCGTTGATATCGCGTAAATATTATGCGGACCTTGCACAAGGCAAAGGGAATTCCTTTACAAACAATCAACATGAAGGTGAAAATAGGAATATATCCACCTTACGGAATAGACCAACAATGATAAATATATCCTCACGTGACAATGCAACGACCACACAACGTGATTCACCTCTGAAGGATATAAAATTGGAAACACCTCCTGAACAAGCAGTAGATCGAGCTAAAGCCGAAATTGAACGAAGCACGGTGAAACCGTTTCACACATTGATATTAAGAAGGAATGCGATTTAATATAGCTGCAACCAGAAAGGCGACAGTGTGAGGTCAAACTCCCTCAAAGCAAGAACGCCAACGAGGACGAAAAAGAAGAACGCTCAACAATGAGGACAGAAGAAGAAGGCCAGCAACAGAAGAACGAAGTCAGACAGAACGAGAAGGAGATTGTTTGGAGATATATTTGAATAAAAAGAACAATGGCTGCCTTTGTCACCGACTCCAATTCTTCAGCGAAACTTAGGAATTGGGTTTTATTAGAAAGGGCTTATATGGAAGAACGTCGACCTATTTCTACTCACTCTGGAAGTGCTCCTATAGAATTCCACATTAGCCTTCAAAATGGATTAGAATATATACTATATATCTGTGAAGGACAATGATATATATGAAATGTAGAATAGCGAAAGGAGACAGAACACACCTAGATGCAACTGATGAACCTGGACCCATCAACTTGTTTATGCATTCCATTTTCAGCCAAGTGAATGTGTGGCTTCAGGGAAATTTAATCACTTCTATAAATAATCACTATCAATACAAAGCCATCATACAAACGTTACTGAACACGAACGAAGTGGACGCAAAATCCAAATCAACTACGTTGAACTGGTAATCTGGCAAACAGTCTGGCTTCCCATAGCAAATTGCACACTGTCTGGTCGGAGATTCGTTCTGGGAATTTGGATTGCTGTGAATGATGCGGCCATGGTGTTTGAACGAAGATGTCTCTACCGGATGTAGCTATCCAGTGCGGCTGTGGTAACTCAAGGTCGACCTGACCTACGTCAGTCATTAACACTCCTATTCTGTTAGGCCAGGATGAATTAATCCTTTCTGCAAAACGTGACACACAAACATAGATTTACCGCACTTACTAGGTCCACCCATAATCCCGTTGGAAGGTATGTTAAATCTAAAGGTTCTTGCTGTTTTGAATAATGCGGCGGTGGCGGTTGCTGTGTTCTTTTCTTTGAGTGTCGGCATTAATAGTGTCGGCATTAGTAGTGTCGGCTTTCAAACGAAACATGAGTCTCATTAACCAGTTCAGACAATGACCTACTTTTCAGCCGATCCGAATTTTCTCGTGTGAAAGTGAACAGAGACACTACAAACACTCTGGTTACGCTGAATTCCAATTCCTTGCTTCATAGAAAATTGGTATTTACAAGTTAATCTTAATTTTAAAGTATAATAAAATGGTATTTCTATATTTTATGTCGCGGTTTAGGCAGCATGTAGTTAAATAAGACGTCACAGACTGCTCCTATCATAAGAGGTCGTACAATGATTCACAATCTATCTGGCTCACTGGTTACGCCTGTTATGTGTTCTTCGCTTTTATTTAGTGAATTGTTGTAACGTACAATGTGATTGATATAATATCAAGTCCGTACCAGACCGCCAAACATTTCTAGCGGCCGAGCCTCGTTTTGAGATTTCCACGATTTCCAGATTTCCTTTGTAAGAGTTTTCTGAAAGTTTAGAAGGAGCGTAATGTTGCAATACAAGTGATTAGATGTATCAAATAATACTGTTGAATGAGTTGGTCTCAAAATTCTAGACTGGTTACTGTACTAAGCTGCGCCAGAGGACGGAACCCAGTCACCAGGAAACGAGACAGTTGTGTAATCAATTTTTGACTTGACAGTGACGGCATTAATAGTGTCGGCATCAATAGTGGCGGCATTAATAGTGGCGGAGATAATATTGACGGCATTTTTAATAGTGGCGGCATTAATAGTGGCGACATTAATAGTGGCGGCTTTAATAGTGGCGGAGATAATATTGACGGCATTTTTAATAGTGTCGGCATTACTAGTGTCTGCATTAATATTGACGCATTAATAGTGGCGGCATTAATAGTGTCGGCATTAATAGTGGCAGCTTTAATAGTGGCGGCTTTAATAGTAGCGGCATTAATAGTGGCGGCATTAATATTGACGGCATTAATAGTGTCGGCATTAATAGTGTCGGAATTAATAGTGGCAGCTTTAATAGTGGCGGCTTTAATAGTGGCGGAGATAATATTGACGGCATTTTTAATAGTGGCGGCATTAATAGTGGCGGCTTTAATAGCGGCGGCATTAATAGTGGCGGCTTTAATAGTGGCGGAGATAATATTGACGGCATTTTTAATAGTGTCGGCATTACTAGTGTCTGCATTAATATTGACGCATTAATAGTGGAGGCATTACTAGTGTCGGCATTAATAGTGGCGGCTTTAATAGTGGCGGAGATAATATTGACGGCATTTTTAATAGTGGCGGAATTAATAGTGGCGGCATTAATAGTGGCGGCTTTAATAGCGGCGGCATTAATAGTGGCGGCTTTAATAGTGGCGGCTTTAATAGTGGCGGAGATAATATTGACGGCATTTTTAATAGTGTCGGCATTACTAGTGTCTGCATTAATATTGACGCATTAATAGTGGAGGCATTAATAGTGTCGGCATTAATAGTGGCAGCTTTAATAGTGGCGGCTTTAATAGTGGCGGCATTAATAGTGGCGGCATTAATATTGACGGCATTAATAGTGGCGGCATTAATAGTGTCGGCATTAATAGTGGCAGCTTTAATAGTGGCGGCTTTAATAGTGGCGGAGATAATATTGACGGCATTTTTAATATTGACGGCATTAATAGTGTCTGCATTAATAGTGGAGGCATTACTATTGACGACATTAATAGTGACGGCATTAATAGTGGAGGCATTAATATTGACGGCATTAATAGTGACGGCATTAATAGTGGAGGCATTAATATTGACGCATTAATAATGGCGGCATTAATAGTGTCGGCATTAATAGTGACGGTATTAATAGTGGAGGCATTAATATTGACGCATTAATATTGACGGCATTAATAGTGGCGGCGATAATATTGACGCATTTTTAATAGTGTCGGCAATAATAGTGTCGGCATTAATATTGACGGCATTAATATTGTCAGCATTAATAGTGGCAGCATTAATATTAACGGAAATAATTATGACGGCATTAATAGTGATGGCATTTATAACAATATTAATTCATTTATATAGCGCCTACTATCCATCTGACTAGTTGCTTACTGGACGCTGTTATCAGTACCTGATTATTATTACCCCGGATAACCCAAGCTATCTGTGAGGCTCTAGAAGCTTAATAGTCACGTTACTCATCTCTCCGGGTACCCATTTTCTGCTGGGTGAACAGAGGCAGTTTTGAACAAACTCACTTGACTAAGGTGAGACCAAATGTATCACAAGTTCTTCGTTGTGGGACAGGACTGAAGTCGTAGAAACTCTCAGGAGTCAAAGCTGCCCACACGGCTACCCATCAAAGGACTCTTCGCGCTCGACGTTGCTTAACTTCAACAGAGTTGTGACCTGAGCTCTACGCAAAGGACCACACACCACCACAGAGTATCTGCGCTTCATACAGTCCTCCTTTAGCGGCGGTGATGGGTGTACAGTACGTCTGTGTCTCAACTTAACATCCTTTCTAGAAAATCATTTGGCACATTCTGGACAGGATGTTTTATTCATTTTTCTATATATCTTCCTCGAATAATGTGATAAAGAAAAGATTCATTCGCCAAATGAATGTGTTATGCTTTGTGAGTACGATTATATATAGTACTGACTAATCCCAGATGTCAGGCTAGGCGCCTCTTTTTCATAAGCCAACGAAACAATTTGTTTAGCCAATACAGCCTCCTATCTATCTGGGTGTCGAGTTTGGAAACTTCCATAACGACTGGGACATTGTTTACTAGGAGACGCAGGTTTAATTAAAAAATGACAATATGAAAATTTTCCTCTATAGTATCCTGTTGGAAGTTTCTGATATTTGAGCAAAGTGTGTAAAACCTGTAATTTTTTTAGTTTACAATGACTTCGCTCAAGTTGCTTTCGCATTGTTCGTCACCCTTTGTAACGATTGACACAAATAAAGGACTTTTATCATACTTAGTTCAGTTACATTAAGTTCTTACTTATTGTTGTTGTTTAACAAAATTGTCAATAATTTAAAAATTTAAATACATGTGTTTATTAAGTATATATTGTTACAGTCACGATATGGCTGCAATATTGCCGATGTGACTCTAAGTCTTAACTCACTCACTCACTTACATACATCTGTATTTATATTCATCTATGAGAAACTTGAAAAAATTCATTTAATTGTGCCAGTTGTTCAAATTTGATTGTTCGTGTGATTGTGCTATTGTTTGTATACTCCAAAAGTTAGATACAGAATGAAAGACTTTGAAAGTATTTTGTTTACTTCTTCATAAGAGGTAGAAGCATATAAGAATGTCTGATTTAAGAATAATATTGTTCCATTTTATAAAAGTAATTTGTAATTAATTAATTAATTAAATTTGGAATGTAATTGTAATTAAGTATTTACATTTTAAAAGGCTGTCATTGTTAATTGTACTTGAAAAAATAAAGTATTGTAATCTAATTAAGTACTTTTAAAAGTAATAATAATAGTTTGAGTGATTGATTAATTTGTGAAGATGTCATACATGTATAGACAATCTTGCGTCTATTCTCCGTTTTGTTTGTATTTGACTTTTCGGTGCTTACACTCTAACTGCAAAATAAACACCGTTATTCGTCGATGACACGATGTTAGTACACGCGATAATGTTTACCCGGTCGGGAGGTGGTCGCTCATGCGGGTTTGTTTACTTGTAAGGGGTGGCTAATGTCACGCTCGTTATCACGCAGTCACTGTGTTGTGTAGAGACTATGCTATCGGAATCGTCAATGACAGTTCATGTACATATAGCCTGTGCAGCACATACTGTAAGACTGAATATAGCGCGTATCATTCTTATCTTTGTCAGTAGTATATAACATGAAACGCGATATACTTCAATACTAGCGTATTACCTGCGTTTTCTGATGCTTTGGATTGACTTTATTCACAGGATCGTCAGTGGCGATCAAGTACTAGACATAGGTTGTTCTGGTCATACAACGATTAAATGAGATATAATTACATTTGTGATATACTTAATACTACCTCAACAGCTTCGTTTTATGATGCTATGGATAGACTGTATTTCTCAGTACAGTCGGCGGCGATTACTGCTTGCGGAGGTGTCAGGTACGTAGAAGTAGATTAGTTTACTTTCCCCAGCCCTCACCGTGTATTAAGTAATATTTTACTGTGTTTACTTTGGAGGGCGGCGTTTGTATTAACTTTGTTACTCTCGAGAGATCAAAGCTGTTAAGGGGGGATATCTAGAGATAAACTTTTTTTTTTCGGGGGGATATTCCTTTTTGGAAATACATAGCGATTTACGGGTAAAAGTGCACTATATACTGCTTATGCTATATGGATTCCATAATACGCGCTGCTCGGAAAATAGTGTATTACCTCCTTTACTTGTTTCGGTAAGGGGCAACAAGATAGGAATCTCCCGGGACGCTGTAATGTACTGACAATACATAGACTTCAAGTGAACCTATATGTTATGTCCAACTGGACGGCATACAGAAATATCAAAATGTCATAACCGAGATGATCAAGACACCAGTTCATTACAAAACATTGTGTCTTCTTAAGATTTGGACATGATAGTAGTCATGCTCGGACATAACACATTCACACTGAAAACGAGGTTTAATTATGAGATGTAATATGCACAACTGTAAACCCATATACTACGAGGCCTTCGAATAATTTACCTGACACAATGTCCAACGTGGAGACACAGAGCAGCACGCCGAGCACGGAGACCTCCATGTTGCCCAGTGAACAAACCAGGAAGCTTATTGTTGAGTCCTCATAAACATGACAAGAACGTTATCAACTTTTCCTTCAGAGTGATCAATAAGAATCCACCTGAACCTTCCTCTGGAGAAATCACGTTCTCCTTGACCGTCTTAGGGGTGTACCGGCCGCCTATCTACGTCCATTGCGGTTGTTGCATTACACATGCCGAATATATACAATTGGTATCGATTTGTAAGTTATTTCCACAACTACGTAAGACATGTATATTTCGGTGACCTACAAACTTGCATGTGATAAAGCTATGTTTAACTGGTTCAGTCCCTACCTGCGACAGTGGTGTAAATATACCGACGGGTGCATCTTGACCTGGCTGTGAGCACGGGGTTATAAATCTAACCATTATCAAGTAAACATTAAGAGATGTTTTTTTCTGGGCATATCTAATGACAGCCCAGAGAGAACTGCAGAATGTGTTTTCGTAGTGTAAATGTCACATATTAGAAAGTAGAAATGAATATTGGGATTTTTTAGCTAACAAACAGCCTTCCTAATACATGGTAATTCAGATCAAGTCAAGCATTCGCCAATACGTTATAGCGTCCCGAGAAACTACACGTGCAGGACACCCCTGGATATGACTCAAACACATCTACGTTCTTGGCAAGTCTAGTATTGTAACGTTCTGTAAGTTACAAAGAAAACGTCATTTCGAGTATAAAAATAGTGTCACATAGTATGTTTGTTCAGTCCATCAAAATTGTTGTCGTGAACTATTGGCACTCAACGGCTTGTTGTACTGTGGTTGTAAGATACTGTTTTGTGCGTGTTATACCGCCTATAACACCCTGTAGTTGTCAATAACACTCGCCCCAGACATTTAGTTTTCAGCCCCAGTCCGTTTGTTCGATACCATCTTTATTCGTTTTTGGTAACAAATGTATCTCCCATTTAACGCTGGCGTATAATAAACCTGTCCACAAGAACACCTTAAACAAATCATATAAAAAATACCTACTAGGATAAATACTGCCGTAATATTACTTTCATTATTTGTCGCTATGAGCATACCGGCAGGTATTAAGTAAGGTGCATGAAAAATGTATTTATAGTATGTTTTACACATTAATGTGAAATGCAGCAGAGAGAGGTAGTTAGGCTCATCACCAGTTCAGGTCCCATTGCAGCAAATGGGGCGCCTAAAACAATAGTGCCTAAACGAACACACCAAGAACTTTCAGGATAAATTTGTAGACTCCCTACACAATGCGGCCTTCTGCATTACCCAGAGTGTCAGAAGGGCTGTGCTTCCGATGGAGACCCAGGCACTCTCCTGATTTGCGCCTGTTGACAGTGTACTCGGGGCGCGAGCGATATATTTCAAAGGTGAGGTACAATTATCATATTTAGCATGCCTGTGCTGAATCCTGCTAATCACATTGCTGTCAGAAGGGAGAGAAATTTCAATCAAATAAATATATTCATTGTACTTATCAAAGAGAAGGATCAGGATTGTCAGGATTTTTGCTTAGGTTGTATAAGGCCCTGTTCCAAAAACGTTTAAAAACAGCATTTTCCTTGACGCTCTGGGCATTCACAGGGTTATACCATGAGTGTGAACCTTACAGCCACACGCATAGTGAAGACGGCAATAGAAACATAACATTATTTCTAAGAATCCTATTTTGTAAATAGTCGACTTCATCCAGGCAAACGAGTCGGTTACATTGCCATTCTGTTCCATACTACGTATATGCACGATGCAGTGGTTTTCCTCCTTAAATGAACAATGATAAATTTTGGCCTCTTCCAAAATAGGTTTTATACAAGACGTTCATCTTTGCATCAGCAACAGCCTTTCCTCGCTCATTATAAATTCAAAATACACGGAACAGGAAACTGCCACACCGGTGGATGCACAGAAAGTGTTATTCGTCCATATCAAGGATAACTTGACCTTGGTGCCGCAAACTTGGCAAAGTTTAATCATGGTAAACATGCAACACACAGGACAGTGCGGGAAGTTTTAGAGTACCAAGAGCAATGTGTTGAAGAAACAGTTGTTGGGAAGATGAAGGAAAGCAATTCATTTGGACGAAGGTTGGATGAGTACACTGATCTCTCTTCCAGAGAGTATCTGGCAGTTGTTGAATGTTATGTTGAGAATAGCGAGTCAAAGCTTGTCTTTCTTGAGAACTCTCTGCAGAATAGCAGATAGTGAGAGTGTTAAAGACGATGTAGAGAAGACCAATCTTGACCAGAAGAAGATGATTTGTTTTGCAGGTGATTGGCCAGCAGTCATGACAACAAAACCATGGTGCAGTGACAATGGACACAGCGAAAGAAACATAACTCAGCTTTGATAGATCGGGGCTGCAGCGAGCTGTTATTTCAGTATTCAATTCTGTAACACTTATTGGGAGTGTTGATGAACTACGGATGGGACTGTTCAAGTACAACCATTATATAACTGTAAGGTCCAAAAGATCAGAAAAGATGCAACTGTTGAATAAAGCAGCGGAAGCCGACATGTCAGATAAATTAAATAGAGGTCCCATACAATGAAGACGGCTGTCCATACATGATGGCTTAGTCTTGATAGAACTGTTTACATCGTGAGGTAGAGCGATCTTTGCTGACTTTGAGACTGCGGTAGTCACAGGGAATGATAAGAGGGCTGGGGATAAACATAATGTCTACAGGCGGCTTTTGTGTGCTCTCTCCTATCTGGACAAACTAAGTTCTTCGAGAGAAGGGGATTTACATTTAGTCGTACGAGTAGCACTGCATCACTGAGAAAGATGGAAGGCAAGCCAGGCCCATATCTAAGTCGCATTGGTCAACCTGTTATTATGATAAGAAACAAAAACAAAAAACAGCGTCAAAAATGAGTTTCATTTAATTAATGATTGTATTACCATTTCTCTGACCTCCATGCAGAGAAAGTGTGAGAACCTGCGTCAGTCCCTACTTCCCATTCTGACACAATGGCTTGTAACTCTAAATATAGCCACGAGTACATCTTGACCTTGGACATGGCTCGTAATTACTCTGCCTTCCAGAAGTAGAGTTATTGTTTTTTTACTGCAATAACTTCTTTCGATGAGCAGATATCACAATAACGGCTGAGAAGTCTCTTCCATCCCACTGATTTACTTACCAGAACTAGACCAGAACTAGAAATATGACTGACTGACTAGAGTTTGGTTGAAAGAGCAATATTCTATCATGACGGCGGGGACACAATAAATGGCTGTATGTGTACCCATGTGTGCGTGCGTGCACCGCATGCGTGAAAGAGAGTGTATGCATGTATGTCTGTGTATGTATGCGTGCGTGCGTGCGTGCGTGTATGCGTGTCTGTGTGTGCGTTCGTGTGTGTGTTTGTTGTTACTGACTGCATGCTCAAATCATTCACACTGTATATTTAGTTGAATGGTATGTAGTAATCTTGAAAATATCCAGACACGTAAATAACCTTGGCGCATAGTTTGTGGAATTCACAAATAGAATGATGGATATTGACATACGAGGGGCGTCCCAAAAGTAGTTAGCCTAACTATATTAATGTTAACTCGAAATCAATGTTAGAAAAGCTTCCATTTTATTTTGAAGAAATCATTAGCAGAGCCACATCCAAAATTTCGCATATGTGGGTAATGTGGTTAACGAGATATTAGTTATCACAACACATTGGGGTATAATATTTCTTTAAAAAATTGCAGAAAGTGAAAAACGATCTGTCATTTTGTACCTCTTGGATAATGGTATGCACTCAGATAATATCATATGAAATATGTTCAGCATAGTGTTGGATGTCTTCCCGTCATAATCAACATTCAAAGATTTGGATTGCTTGATTTAGATTTATATATATTTATATTTTTTAAAGGACACCCCCATTTTAATCTTTCAAAAACATTGTGTCCAGATATTCAAGCTGGCACTGTTTACAATATATTGGGTGCTGACACTTGTGTGACCATTTAGTATTTAGTTTAAACACTTGTCATCATAAATGAATTAGTGAAAACATTAGAATATTCAAATTATAACATTCAAATAATTTGTTATTCAGTCATCAGACGCCGTCTGTTTGTAGAAACAGAACTGTTTTGGACGCAGGTAAATACAATGTGGCCTTTCCCAGTGCTGGGTGTTGTTGAGGAAACTGTAACTCTATATTCCTTCCACGCAGAAGTACATGAGAAATTGTTGAACTGGACATAATGGTGTAATTCATCAGGTAGTCAACGCCGTTGTTTCTTTTTGAAATGATGCAGTACTGTATTTGTAATGCGATGTTACTGTGACCCAAGTGGAACTCAAATGATGTCAGAAGGCATGAAGGTTTGTTGTTTAGAGTACTGCGGATCAGATTGAACATCACGGGTACAGTCGTCATCCCCACATAGAGATGCCACAACATCTATGCATTTATGATTTTCAGTGACCCATTGATATACTTACGACTGTCTTAGCATGAACCCAATGGAATCTGTTCAATTAATCGTTAATATATATGTCGTATAAATAGTTCAAATACATTTCAAATTTAGATAAAGGTAAGAAAAGAAGATAACCCTTTTTCTGTCACGGCTCTTTAGCATTTTACATCAAATTCATAATTCTTATGTAAGCATAGCTGAGACTACATATTATTTGCAGTTGGAGAATTGAATTTAAGTTGATTTTATATATCAACTTGGTACATATTGTAAAATATGAGTCCAGATATTTCTTCTTGCCAAATCTCCTTTATATCTGCACAAGATCTTTCGCCGTTCAACGGATCTTCAGGTATACAGGTGTAATCCTTATTACCTTGATTTAGATGTAGTTACAAAAATACCCGACTTGAGAAAAGGTATCTTCTTATTGAAAAACAAATGGAGCTTATCTTTGTTGCAGATGAAATCAATGTTTTCTTTGTCTGTCGTTGTATTTCTGTAAAAAGACCATCGGTCTTATTGCTGAAAAAGTGTGGACTGTGGCTTTAATACGCGTCCATAATCATGGGCCGGTGGTCTTCAAACTCAAACAGAACCGTCCGTCAGGAGGAGGGACGCCAAATATACATTACCGGTGTCGTTGTTTACAGACAGGCGTGTACTGTAGTCTAACAACTAGTCTCTGACATCAACATATTTTACAGAAAAAGGTTCATAGTAAAAAAATAAAATATAATGAAAAGATGCCCTGAGACTTTCTTCATTT